GAAGTTCCCTTGAGCCTCTTTTATAAGGACACTAGTCCTATTCCTGAGTTAGTGCTCTCAAGAACTTACCATCTACCAAAGATCCTACCACCACATACTATCATATTGAGGATTAGGTTTCAACATATGAATTTGTTCTTTTTGATGGGGGGACAGAAACATTCAGCCATAATACCTACAAAGGGACAGAAGGACCAATACCTATCCCATTTAATCCTCACGACAGCCCTATGAAACTAACATGTTTACACCCTCCTAGATAAGACAACTGTAGCTGGGGAGACAAAGTGAATTGCCCAAGGCCATAAAGCTAGCAAATAGTGGAACAGGAACAAAGCCTGGGCTCTCCCTGATCTGATACCTGAAGCTGAGAACCAGAAGCCATCAATAAATGAGAGAGACTCTGGGCTAACACTGCTGCCAAAGGGAATGTTGCCTCATAAACTCTACATTGGTGTGCATCTGGATTCAGGCTTCATTGCAAAAGTATGGGTTTTCTTGACACTTTCTTTTGTCTCAACACAAAAGCTGTATGGTCTATTTGCTTGTGTATGGTTATAAACAGCAGTCCACCAGAGTCCTTTTCATTGTCCTCCTATATTCACTGGTGATAGAAGCCAGCACACATGAAAAGCCTTTTTTTTATGGGCTTCTCTAGAAACCCTTTACTTCTCATCTTTCTTTCACATTCCTAACAGCTTTTCTCCCTTTCTTATTCACCCTTTTTCTTTATCTATTACCCAACATCCAGGCATTTAGTTTTCCTCCCACCTGATCTTAACCTATGGGAAATATAATAAAGTATTTTCTTAAGCAAGACTTGGTAATATGTTGAGTGATTTATCGTTACAATCCAGGTTAGAAGTTGGGGCCTAATGACACTTTCTGACTCTACTTTGGCTGAATTGCTGCAGTCAGTTATTTCTCAAAGTCTTGACTAACCCAGATGATAAGTCTTAATTGCAAATTATTCTAATTTCATGTTTCTTTTATTTTGACATTAGTGACTTGACTGCAGAGAAATAAAGAATAATTGTAAGCTAAAGTGAAGCCCAACAAAGAATTCTATTGACTGTGTGACCTCATCGGAGGAAGTGGCCACAACCTTCTTGTTTGTTGCCTATTTCTATTTTTTTCTTTGTAACAGTGGACCTTGCTGAAGGAGTCCTTAGAAATGTCCAGTTTGCATAAACCGAAGCCCCGGATCAACAGATGATTAATGTAGGAAACAACCCTAGGCACCTATACTTTCCATTCTGAGTTAATTCTATGTTCTCAGAGGCAAAGCTAAGAGATAAGGTCTTGAATAACAGTGAGATTAACCATTTTCTCAAAGGCAGGACCCATTGTTTGATAATACTGCAAGCTTCCACTGCTTCCTTCTAGCACAAATCTTGGTTCTTCTTGTTTCTTCCACACTCCTCACCTCATTCTACTCCACTGGGACAGCCCATAATTTGGGTTACCAGTAAAGGCAAGGTAGCATTCCCAACATCCTTGTGACAAATCCTAAATTAACGACATTTAGAAGAAGCCTTAACATGTATAGCAGGCAAAAATATTCCTTCAACACACACACACACGCGCACACACACACGGATTGAGAGAGTGTGTGTGTATGCGTGTGTGTGTAATCATTGTCTTTAACACTAAAGGCAATCTTTCTGTAATCGCTTAGTGGCACGACCTGGTAAGGAAGACAGTGGCACCCAGTGGACAAATGTTTGATTGTTTGAGACAGGTGTTCCATTCTGAAATATTCTCAAGAACTTTCTTAGGAAATATCAGGTTCTTCCCTTTCCCTATCCTCTCATCCATGTTTTTAATGTTGACTTAAATTTTAAAATAGGGGACAGAGGACTGTTCTTAAAGTTTTTATCTTTTCAAGGAAAAGACTAGACTCAAACACTGGAGAAAGCAAAAATTTTAGGATTAAATCCTGTGACAACAGTGTTGATTGACTCCTCTCAACAGTAACAATGAAGACAGCCAAATCTCATAAAATGCTCAAGTTAATTAAAAATATAATATTGAAAATGCCTGCAATGTGCTTTACATATCATACTCTCCCTTTCCTCAAACCATGGCCAACTTCCAATTTAACTCACTTGGTTATGCAAATTTGGCAACTTCAAGAAAAATGCTTTAGTACAAATAACACATACAGATCCTGCAACTTAATGCTATTGTGCAGTTTATCTTGGAGTCATATAAACACCTATTTTCATTCTTCATATCTTCCAATTTTTCTATTGTCTGTGAGCTACTTGGATAGAGAAGCTCTGACTTATATGTCTTTCCTGCAAAACACCTAACCAGCATCTTACTTATGGTAGGTACAAAAAGGTTGTGAAATCCAGTTTCCATTTTATATATTTAATCTGCTATATTACTGAAAAAATGAATACATCTAATTGTTTGGTGTTATACAAAGAGATCATCCAGCAAAGAATCTTAAATATTAGGAGCTATCTGTGAAACCGCCTTTGTAAATTATAACTGAGGAAATTATGACAGTGAAAGAAATAAGACCTAACCGACTCTATCTTGCTTCTAACCCTTAAGCTGTCCTTGTTCATTCCTAGGCATAGGCCGAACTATCTGTGGGAAGGAATTCAGTTCATGGTTTGACTCTGAAACAAAATTGATAACAGCCTTTTCCCAAAGACCCTGCTCTTGCCTGAGGTCCAATCTGCCCCTGCAGAACTACCAAATTAGCTACAAAATTAGAAATTACAATTGAGGGGTCATGCAGCCTGTGGCTCTGAGAGTCTGAACCTCCCCAAATTGCTCCTGGGGATAACATCACTATTGTAAAGTTTAAGATCAGTGCTTCAGATATTTTGCAGACCCTGCACTTGATGGATCAGCTGACACCACCCAGCCCAACCAGTTCTGCCATCACACCCAGGAACAGAAGACATTAAGAAAACCTAACTTCCACCCACTATGATTCCATCTCCAACCTGACCAACCAGCACTCCCCACTTTCCGGGTGCCTCTCCGTCAAATTATCTTTAGAAGCTCTGATCCCTGAATGCTCAGGGAGACTGATTTGAGTAATAATAAAACCCCGGTCTCCTGCACAGCCAGCTCTATGGCTCTGTGATTTCCTCTTTCTCCACTGTAATTTCCCTGTCTTGATAAATCGATTCTGTCTAGGCAGCGGGCAAGGTGAACCCACTGGGTGGTTACATCTGCATTGGATAAAATAGAAATATTTCATTAAGAACCAAAGGAATGGGTACTTGTTTTTTTCTTTGAGACGGAGTCTCGCTCTGTTGCCCAGGCTGGAGTGCAGTGGCGCGATCTCAGCTCACTGGAAGTTCCGCCTCCCGGGTTTATGCCATTCTCCTGCCTCAGCACCTGCCACCATGCCCTGCTAATTTTTTTGTATTTTCAGTAGAAACGGGGTTTTCACCATGTTAGCCAGGATGGTCTTGATCTCCTGACCTCGTGATCCACCCGCCTCGGCCTCCCAAAGTGCAGGAATCGGTACTTTTATGAGTGAATTGAATCTTACTGATTCAAACGAGAAATCATTAAAAGTCATTTGATTACCAAAAAAATCCCATATACCTTCTTAGTGTAACCTAATCCCAGCAGGGGTGCCCCTTTTTAGTTATCCACTGAAAAATCCTTCCCAATTTGGAGACTCTGAAATTCTTCGGTTATTTTGTTGTTTTTGTTGTTTTGTTTGTTTGTTTTGCTTTGAAATGGTACCTCATGTTTATCATTATATTCTTGGTAATTCTTAATTTTGCCACAGTTCGAGGCTTGTTTCTGTTTGTTTTAGAAAAAAAAAAAGAACAGTTGGCAGGCTAGAGCTATGGCTTGAGGCTGAGATGGAAACTTTTCCAAAAGGGTAGCACATTTTTATTAGCTAACACAACTCCCCTGTGACCCCTTGCATCAATCGCATTTAGTCAGTAAACAATAAATACATGCCAAAGTAAGGGATGCACCTTTTTTGGTAAGCTGAAAAAGAAATGAAGGGCATTTGTGTGTGTATCACAAAATTATATATTAATTATACTTTTTCTCATAACACAAGGCACTTTTCCTCCTTAGTTTCCGCTAAAATTCTGATGCAATTAGCTTTTACTGTACAGAGAGACTGCCTTTATTAAAAGTACCTTAAAATTATTTTTTTCCAAAGTATCTAAAATATACTTTTATCTAAATATATCAATCCAGGAGAAATTAATGAACATTTCTAACATTGCAGGGCCTCCTCCATCCTTTTCCCTTCACTGACTGTCACCAAAAGAGAGCACTGGGGGACCCAGACTCCAAGCAGTTTGTCCTCTGAGGCCAAGCCTCTCTGACCGGGGGAAAGGCAACAATAGTTGCACTATTTGCAAAGTATAATCTTATTGGGAAATATTCCAGCCCTGGTCTGAGCTTTACTGATACTAGTAAAGCTGGTTACTGCCTCTGAAATCATGGACCTGCTGTACATGCAAAGCACTCTAAGGTGTCCAGGCCACCTGGTGCATGCCAGGCTCCACTTATCATCTGCTGCTTTGCTTCTGTAAGTTTCAAAAACCTAAGAGGGATGTCAATATTTGAAAAACTCTCTTCTAAGTACAGTTTCCTAAAAACAAAAGAAAATTACTTCTGCATGACTCCAATAGGCTTTATTTTATCTTTGAGCTTATCTATTTATAATGCAAATATACTTTGCTTATTCAGGAAAACCATTTAGTTAAAGAAGGTTTGCCTAACTCATGGCCTGTGGTGAATGAAAGTCAAATAAAATACAAAGATGAAAAAAGTTTTAAAGACCGAAAAGTTCCATACAGACTAAAGTAGGCACTGTTATGTCTAAAATGAATGGAATGCTGTGTGCGTGTGTGTGTGTGCATAACTGCAATGTGTATGTGTGTGTATGTGTGTGTGTATCAGTAGAGGCAGAGGTTAAAACATGTGTTTACATTTACACTTGCCATGCTGCACACTGAGGAACATTTGTTTCCAGTTCCCATAACAGGTGTTACCTGTTCAGATAAAGCTTTAGCCTTTTCTTCTGCTTCTTTCAGACAAGTCTCCAATGACTCAAGTTGGGCCAAGGTAAACGCCATCTGTCCAGTATCCAGGGACACTTTCTTAAAAAAAAAAATCAATTATTACTTTTTGACAGGGATCGTTTGAGCACATCTCAAACAATCTTATGGACTAATGATAGGCTTGATAAACTCACACAAATCCTCCCCTTTTCTTAACAAGGAAATAAAACGGCAAAATGTTTTAACAATAGTTTTATTTAAAACATAGAATGTAAAAAGAGTAAAAAATAAATGATGACAATGAGCAGCTTTAGAAAGTTAGATTAAATAACTGTCATTGGAATTTGATTACTTTGAAACTTTTATTCTTCAAAAGGTTAGGTTTAAAATTTCACATTCCTGATGGAAGATGTCACCTAGAATGCCTATGTTTTTAACATTCACCTAACAGTAGGAATGGAGTCAACTGAACTCAGAGAAACCCTGTTTCCTCTCATCTTCACCTTCTCAGCACATGTCATTGAAGCAAAGATACCACATGTTTTAGAATCAGATCATTCTTCCCCAGAGCCTGGCTAATATGACTCAAATTAGCAGATGTGTAGACTCTGCCTTTCAAAATTTTTCTTTTTCTTTTTCTTTTTCCAGGCAGAGTTTCACTCTCATTGCCCAGGCCGAGTGCAAGGGCACGATCTTGGCTCACTGCAACCTCCACCTCCTGGGTTCAAGCGATTCTCCTGTCTCAGCCTCTGAAGATTACAGGCACGTGCCACCACGTCCAGCTAATTTTTATATTTTTAGTAGAGATGTGGTTTCACCATGTTGGCCAGGCTAGTCTTGAACTCCTGACCTCATGATCTGCCCACCTCCACCTCCCACACAAAGATTACAGGTGTGAGCCACTGTGCCCAGACTCAAAATGTTTCTAAAGTTACTTTTCCTCAGCTACAAGCTGAAGAGTACACAAAATTGGTATGAAAACACCAGGTACAGGCCCTTGTGAGGCTAGAGCACTTCCTTGCTACTCTTTTGCTATTGTAATACTTAGTAATTACAAAGCAATACAAAAGTTGGAAAACCTTGTACATGCTAGGATGATGACCTTCCTATAGTTTCTCTGGGTGCGTCCTGTTTTCTTGCGAATACTCCTGCTGCAGCTGCTTCCAATTAACCCCATAAAGAACGAACTGCATTCCTACATATCTTAAAGGTCTAACTTCTGTTTTATTTTTTTCCCTGTGGCTTATGAGACCACCGATTTTACATGTGTGCATTTCCTGACGATACAATAGAGCCATCTGGTGGTAAATGGAACCAGGCATAAAAATACAGCATTCATTCAGTTTCTGTACTTGTTCATACTATACATCGAACCTTGAGTCTCTGCCACTGGCCTCTGATATAAACAGAGTTCTATGGGACAAGAGGCAAAAAAATATTTCTACTTCACCAACAGCCTGGCTCAACAGTCAAGTTCTGCCGCTACAGGGGCATACTCACCCTCAAAAGTTTGCCTTTAGGGGAGGAACATCTTAGGCTGGAATGGTGATACTAGGAAGTGAACCAATTGTCCTCGGATCCTTGATGGTTCCAGTAATTTCAAAAATGGGTTCAAAAATTCTCAAAAAAAAAGCCTTTAAACAAAATTCTTGTGCATTTACACTTAGAGATGAATACAGGCTGTAAGACATTATATGCAGAAATGGGGAATTGTCATGAGGCCAAACTATTTTTAAAAGATGGGGAATCCCTGATCTAGACTTCTATTTCCAGGGAAAATTTTCTTGTTGAACGGTTGATCTCAAGAGGAACTTTTTAAAATTTGTGTGAGTAGACTCAGCAAGATCATCTAATCCATTTCTCCAGGGCTTCTTCAAACACCCAAAATTTCCCCAGCCGAGAACAACAAACATTTCCATAAGACAAAAACATTGTAAGTCAAAGCCAAATGAAACAGGCATAACTGAGAACTGTTATTAAATAACACAGGACTTTTTGTACAGACAAATTTAGGGAATTGTCATGTGTTTTAGGACAGGGAAAGACCTGAGCAAACCATGGAGAATGCAAAGTCAGTCTTTTACACCCCCACTCCAGCTGTAGTGAGCACGCCCTGCTCCCTGACCCGCCTTTCAGCTTCTGCCACGCTCTTAAGGGAAAAAGCTTACACAAAAGCAGGCACTTTTTAAATAGGAGGTAACTCCATTAACAGAACAAAGGCAAACAAAAATGAAGTCAAGAACAATTTCAAAAATAAGTAAACACATGAAGATAGAGGTTTGGGAGGTGGATATGTGGTTTCAAAGACTAAAAAAGTTAGATGCACTCAGTCATTGTCCCAGTTTTGCAAGGTACAATGGCAGAAGGGCAGAAAGATAGGACTTCCATTATTAATTTCATTTTACTTCCAGGTACATGTGGACACATGCAATTTGTATTAATAATGAAAATGAATATTCTCAGTGGTTAAAGTAGTTGCAAGTGAATTATATTAATCAACAGTCTATGACATCAAAATGATGAAAATATAGGCAATATACAGGTGTTGGGAATTGAACCTGTGTATGGATTTCCAAATGGTAAATTCCAACAATTTAATAATAATCTCCATTGTGAATTTCTACTTTTTGTCTTAAAATTGTCTACCTAAATATAAAGTTATTATCTAAATACAGATACCTAATGTAGCCAAGTTGATCAATCGAAGATGATACCAAATAACACTAAAAATTCAATAAACTCTTTGATTACAGTAAAGACACCTGACTATTATTATGCATGGATGTTGAGGTTGATAGTTTACTAATTGAACAAATTTTATATGACATTGTAAGAGTAGACTTCGTTCTGGTTGCAAAGGTTTCTCATTTGATAATTTAAAGGAAAATTTACATATTATTTTCTAATTTTATATTTCTTGATTTCTTAATCTATTCCAGTACCTTCTCATTATCCTCTACCTTGCTGTTAAGGCTTTATTTAAGCCTTAACAGCTTAAATAAAGCTGTTATTTAATAACAGCCTTAAAATGTCCTAAAATGACAGCTATACAAACCCTTTGACCCTTAAGGACTGGCTCAAGGTTTCTGATTGATCCAACTTCATGTGCCATATCTAGAAATGTTCCTGTCTGCAGAAGCCAGACAGGACTTTGCTGAACAGTAAGTAGGAGCCTGATAAATAATTGTTGATTGATTAAAGGCTCGGCAGTCAATGAAGGTGGTTGTACCAGAACGAGCAGTCCTTCATGCTGAGAGGCTATAACAGTGACTTCTTTGAGCAATACTTTTCATGCATCTGACCTGGGACATTGACAGGGATCAGAGCCACAGAGAAGTTCTGCTTGCCATGGTCAGGGGCCAGACTGTGCAGATGAGGACAAGAATGTGGTCATGAGGCTGAGTGATGGTAGGGTTGTTGTAAGAACTGAATGAGGTAAAGCAGATAAGTGCTTTGACAGATGAAGTGCTCAATACATGTTAATAATTCCATTATCCCAATTCCTTTAAAGAGAATAATTTGGTATTAAGACTCTCTAGCTTATTTTAAAACCCAAGTAAAAGAAAATACCCACGGGGACACTTTCGTAACAGCAAGTGATCAAATGGCAGTGGGAAATTCAGTCAAGTTTGTAATTAAGAACAGTTAATGTATTAAATATGTGCACGTACATTTATTTAAGAGAAAGAGTTTTAAATAAAAGTGTGGTTATGGCAAATTTCACCTTTGTGGAAGAGCATTTTGACATAGGTCAGTTTTGGAGAATTCAGCGTCTCTAAAATCTGAAGCTTCTAATATGTCAGGGTTCTAGCAGCAGCCCCTGCTCAGTGGTACAGTAACTTCCTTCCAGATAAACACATTTTGCAATATCCTGTTTGATATCTATTCATTACTGCTGCCCATTCCTCTCTCCTTCTGCTTGACAGGCACCTATCACCCTATTCTTCCTTACCCTTCTGCAACCTACTCATTTTCTCATGCAGAGTCAAGTCTTTCCCCAGCTGATCATCTTCTCCCCCAACCACCACCCATGCCTCATCCCCTCACCCTGGGCACATTTATTTCATCTCTCCCCACTGCCCTTTCATGATCAGAATTCACGTCACAGTGATAATTGCATCACTCTCATGTTCTTTTGTGTTTAGCGTTTGCAGTAGATTCTTACACTAAATTGCCCATTTCTACTTAGGCAAATATTTAAAAACTCAATTTTCCTGGTTCTAATCCATTCCAGTGAAAACAGTATTCCTCTGTGTTTGGGTTTGCCTCAATAGTCACCTAAGAAGATATTTAAATTCAAAATGTGAACAAATTACAACTAGTTTTCGAAATACCCATCAATATGGCTGAGCAGGACGTGACTCTGGGAGGATGGTGGCCTGGATTGAGCATAGCCTAAGGAGCACTCTGCTTGTAATCTGGAAGGTATGGTCTATATCTGACTTGATTCTAAGTGATCATGTGACTTCGAGCAAGCTGCTTCATTTGTCTGCGTCTCAACATTTTTGTCTTTAAATGAAGAATGTATTGATAAAGCCCAGGAGGAAATAGATGGCTACTCCAATGCAGAAACTGAGGAGAATTAGACGAAGGGACGATTTAGAAGGTGTGGGTAAGATTAAAGGAACCAACAAGGGTTGGTGAGACATTCCCTGGAAGTACAGGTGCCCTTTGCCTTACCTTGACCTGAAGAGGTAGGGGAAGAGCAAAACTGATAGGTCTAGAAAGAAAGCTTGAGGAGAGGAACACAGCCACGGCCAACTATGTCTAGGCAGTTGTGGTGGTTGGAGAGAAGTAGGGAGGGGAAACGAACCAGCAGAGTCAATAGCCTGACCTTAACTCCTCTCATCCCCTGTTCTCCTGTCTGTGTCTTTCTCGGGCTGGACTCAACAAGCCAGAGGTCAAGAGAACCCAAATAAATGTCCAGAGGGATCAGCATTCCCTGAAAAGATGAGTTGGGAAGGGTGGAGAGTGGATAGGGAGGAAGAAACAAAGAAACCTCAGCCCAAAGGGGTTTAATTATATTAGTGGTTCCCAAATGCCACCCCATAGATCAGTGTTGGTTTGTGATAACATTTGTGCCAGCCAGTAACAAAAGG